TACATCTGCACTCAAACTGCCAATTAAGTATAATTAAGTCTTGCACATGTGCTGGTTTAAAGTGGATTTTCAGTGGAACTCTGGGTTTGGTTTTGGTGTATTTTACATCCTTTTTCAGGGCCTGAGCTCATCCCTACTTGAAGTCAAAGGAAGGGCCCTGCTTGGCTTTCTTGGGATGTGACCCCAAAGCATCCTGAGACAATCCCTCTTCCTTCCATGACTTTTCTTTACATCACTGTCTGTCCATCTGGGATATTGAGTTAAAATCAAACACTGCTGATGTCCATGGGAACTTCCTACACCCTGTATCTCCTTTTATTCACATCACATGATACAAAGCTTCATTTAGACTTTTATTTCTCACTAATCAACTTTGCATCCCTTTCAGCCTGTAATAATTCCCAGATAAAGTTTTAATTACCCTGATGATGTTCAACACCAACCACTTCTCAAGGAGCTGGTAGGCTCTTGAGGGACCCTCACCTTGCCCTGGAAGAGGTGTAGACCCAGTGAAAGTCTGAGATACCTTTAATAGCTTCACCTTTGTCTGTTGGTGTTCACTTAATTTTACACAGGTTGCATTTAGCCTGGACAGACTTAATGAATATAAGAGTATTCTGTATTTTTTAATACAGTATATGGAAAAAAATGGTTTCTTTTAGTTGGGCTGTGCTCAGGAAAAGCTCGGGGGGTCAGTGATGGTGAGAGCAGGTGCTTTTTAAAGTAACACAACATAAACTATATTAATTTGATCTTTTTCTGCACCTCATGTTTCGCAGTTCATTTCCCAAATTAGATGTGAACAGTTTTCAAAGACCCCAGAATATTTTGTGTTTTTCTTTCTTTGTTTTGGTTTGAATTTTTTTTTTTTTGGCTCATTGGTTTCTTGGGAGTTTTTCTCTGGGGCTTTTTTTTTTTTTTTTTTTTTTGGTTTCTAAAAAAACCTGGTGCAGGGAATGTTCATAAAGATCAGGAACCTCGACCACACTTTCCCTTTCAAATCTTCCCTCAGTTCTTCACTCAACACCTCGTTTTTCTTTGCTCAGGGTCTGTTACAGCATTTCCCTGACGGCTGCAAATCCATAAAATCCCAGTGCTGGGAAGTGTTGGAGCTTTGCTGACCACAGTCACTCTCCAGAGGCAGAGGCTCGTTCCTGGTGCTCCCTCAGCCGTGTTTTCCTTTGGGATCACCAAAAGGAACCTCTTGGGAAGGAAGTGGGTGTTGTGGAAGGACCTCAAGGCCAGGTTGGACCTGACTTGGAGAAACCTGGTCTGGTGGAAGGAAGGAGTCAGGGGAGTGGAACTTTATGAGCTTTGGTGTCCCCTCCAACCCAACCCATTCCATAATTCCAGGATTCCCTGAAGGTGCAGGTGGTTTAAATCCACCAAGCCACGCTTTGCCATCACTGATCTCTCTCCACCCAACCTCAGCAGGCAGAAAAAGGGACATTTGGGGGCAGTTTCAGTTTGAAAGTTCAAACCCCAGTAGCTGCAGTCGTGTCCAGGGGTTTCTCCAGGCACATCCAGGGAATGTGGGAGCTGACAGGGCTGAGCAGAGCTGTGGCCACAGCAAAGCAGCCGAGATGTTTGTTCCTTGTTATACAAGGAAATATTGCCCCTGATGAAAACACTCTCAGGAACGATCCGGTTCATTTTTCCACCCTCTGCGGAGCTGAAATCCATTTCCCTTTTCCTGCCTGTTATTTGGGGAATGTCAAGGAGGTGCTCCCAGTTCTATGGCTCTGCAGGGGGTTCCCTGATGAGGTTTTGACAGATTTAAGGGCGTTTTTGCACGGTTCAGCTCCGAAATGCGCAGCAGGGACAGTTCCCCTCGCTCTGAACTGCTCTGAGTTGGGTTTTTATTTATGCTGAGTTTATTTTGGTATTGGCACATTTCATGTAAGGAATAAATTTCAAATTTAGGTACAAGTTGTTGTTGGATAAGGGAAGGTCCCCAAGTAAAGCTTTAGAAAGTAGATCAGTAAATTCCCAGTGATACCAGCTTTGAGAGCAGTGGATAATTTTTATTTTGTTTTCAGTTACCTTAACTCAACACGCTTTTATTTTAAGAGAAATTAATGAGGACATTAATTACATAAATTACCTTAATGTTACTAAAGCTTCTGTCAAACCTTATGCCACAACACTGTATATTGAATTTCTATTGTAATATTGTAATAGTTGAGGATGGGTGAGTGGAGCAAGTGTCCTCCACTCTGGACTTGTTTCCTTGTGTTGGGTCTTGCTCTGCTTCATCAAGGGAAATTAAGAACTACAAAATTAAACCTTTGGACTTGAGTCTTGGATTTTTTTCATACAGCTCCATTCTTTTGCCCCTGCCCCTGCCTGCTCCAGCTTCCTTAGGGAATGCCAAGGTGTTGGAGACCTGGATTAATGTAAACCTCTGATGTTTTCAAAGAACTTAATAATTTTTGATACTAAAGAGTTTTTGAGTTCTAGACCTAAAGACAGACTCTAATTGCCCCAGATAAACTCATCCACGAGCCTGTAAATCCACAAACTAAATGTTTTGTTGGCAATAAAATGGTTTCAGTCTTAAGGCTTCACAAAGAAAACTTTGAAGACTGGAAAGAATCAGGTAGAGGGACTTATCTTTTTGAAGGGAAGGTGTTTATCAGCAGAGCTTCTTATCTTTTCAAGGAGCTGTGTTTGCTGTTTGAATGTGTTTTGCCATCAGTGCCACAGGATTTTCAGTGAACCTTGTATAAACAACCACTCAGCGATTCAAAACCTCTCTTTATTTAAAAAAAAAAAAAAGAAAATCATATTTTTTTACATTCCTGCAGTAGAAATGGGGAAAAAAAGACACAAAATTCTCAGAGTGTCTTGGTTTTGAGCCTTTTATAGGTAGGCAAACATTTGTGCTTGCCTAGATCAATAAAAGGGCTCACAACAGTAGCAAGAATGTGTTTTAGAAGGTTCAAAAATGTCTTTGGGAAGGTTCAACCTGGCAAGGACCAGCCTGAGGAATGGGCCTGATTTTGGTAAGCAATTTTGAGCTATACCAAAATATTTACCTGGTTGTGGAATTTAAAGGCTTAAGTTCTGAACTTCCAAAAGAATAATTGTCAGTGATAAGTAAAATCAGCAGAGGGTGTGATGTGAGTTGAACCATGCTTGGAAACTGTTTGAATAATTTTGGAAGAAACTGAAAGAAAACATTAAATTTTAATCTTTTTTAAAGAAAATTCTGTTTCCTGCCCTGGCAGTTGAATGTTGGATGGGAACAATTAGTTGTGGGATAAAATGAGCTTGACATGGAAAGAAAGGGAGCAGAGAAAGTGGCTGGTTTTCATTATTAAGACTAATTTTATTAAGTTTTGTATGGCAAACATCTCACTGAAGAAGGGATGAAAACCAGAAGTTTGGGAGATCAATAATTTGCATGTCCCAAATCCTCAAGAGTTTGAATGATAAAGGGAAAAAAAGAAGGAGAGGGGAGGTAGAAAACCCAAAGAGGAAGGCAGATATTCAAGTCAGTGTGGTGATACAGTTGGTACAGTCACAGAATTCCAGAATGGTTTGGGTTGTAAAACAGTTTCTGTGTGAGAAGAACGGGGGGATGGAGCTTGAACAACCTGGGCTAGTGGAAGGTGTCCCTGCCTGTGGCAGGGGTGGAATGAGATGAGCTTTAAGGTCCCTTCCAACCCAAACCATTCCATGATTCCATGATAATGGAGTTGAACAGTCACTCACAGTCATGGTGAACTTCAGAGTTCAGAAATAAAAGAGAAACAAAACCCCACTGAAGACCTACAGGTGATAAACAGAGATGTGATGTGATCCCAACAGTCTGTATCGTTTGGTTCCAACACTAACACCGTGGGGTGGGAGAATTTTGCTCGCTCCTGTAAAAACAAAGTGCAGCATCCTTTGCAGTTTGATGCCAACTGTATCCCAGAACCCCCAAGATCCCATAAAATCCTGAGCACGCCCCTCAGGTCATTTATTGGGGTCGCCTCTTCTTGCCTCCCACGCTCCCCAGAGAAATTGTGGTCCACCCCCTCCTCCCTGGCCACCCACCCTCAGATCAGCTGAGAAATCAGACTTTGGGAAGCAAAACCTTTGTTAGGAATGTTATTTTTGCTCTTTGTTCTCTTGCCTTCCTTTGAAAGGTTCCCTTTGTTCGCTGCGGGTCAAATGCTGTACTTTAAAAATACATCCCTCATGGCACAGAGAAATTAAATTAATATTAATTAATGTGTCTATTTTAGCTGAATGTCAAAAATGGCAGCAGGGACTCGTCATTATTTGCAGACATGTATTTTATTCTGATTTGTGTGTCAAGAAGTTTCTTTTTGATGGTCTTTGGTGTTGAATTTGGTTTGGTTCAGGAGGTTACAGACACTGAATGACTGGGGTTTATATATCTATATATCTATATACTTATATATCTATCTATATATATGTAGGGTTTATTTTAGAACAATTTCGTTGCTCTGGAAAGGAGATGTGGAGCCATTTTGATTGTTATTATTATCCATAGTAATAAAACAATATAAAAGTAGCTGGTTTGGTTATTATCTGTTGAAATCTGGGCATAAAAATAACACTTAGGAAAATGTATAAGGAAAAGAAAGGAAGAGAAAGGAAGGAGAAGAGTAGAAAGATGCCACCCCACCAGGGGGTCCTGCAATGAGACCTGATTATTGCAGTGTCGATGTCTGTTGGTCAAAGTCTTGATCCACTGGGGTGGAGGAAGACCCCAGAACACAAAGTCCAGTGGGTTAATGTGTGCTCAGGTGCAGGAGGGCAGTTTTACTCTGATGGAACTTGTGGATCATTCACAGTCCTCTGGTGGAAGAGTCTGGCCCTGCTGCTCCTGCAAACGGCCCCTTGTCGGAGCCATTTACCAGGGACATCCCAGTCTCCCACAGGGGCTCTGGGACGACCCAGTTGTGAGGAGCTGCCCAACTGAGGTCTCTTCCAGCCATCCCCACCCTGGAATTCCGAGCAGTGACTCCCTGCTGTCCCCACAGGTGCTGCAGGGCGCTCAGCTCATCGCCGTGGCGTCGGCCGAGCCCGCACCCGGGGGGGTGGATGGATCCCCACTCCAGGGAAGTGACATCCAGGTCCAGTACGTGCAGCTCACACCGGTGACAGACCACTCTGCCACCAACCAGGTATGTCCAGGTCTCTGTTTCACCATCTGAACGTGCTTAACTTGACTGAAACATCCATCACATGTCCTGTATGTAAACCCACAAACAAGGACTTCGTGATCCTTTTTCCAAAACATAAAAAGAAATACCATTTACATAATTTTTTTTTAAAAGATAAAAATGGTCTTTTGCTACTCCCTCTTCTGTGTTCCTTCTCAGTGCCTCTAGAGAACAGTTATTTCGGTCATCATTGTTTTCCTGTGCCCTTGAAGGCTAAAAGCCATTGCAAAGGACAGGGCAAGAAACGTGCCTGAATGCAGCCAAAAAGGATATTTTAGACTGAGGTTTCACTTAAAAATGTTATACCCTCCCTGACAGCAGTGTTCCAGTTGTTTTGATCAACAGCCTGGATTTCCCACAGCATCTGTAAGTGAACACTTGATCCTCTCCGTTATGGTGGAGGAATTACTGGGTATTTCTGTCTTTTTTTAAATCAGTTTGAACAGTTGTGTGGCTGAGTTTAGAAAAAGCATGTCATCAACTTGAAGCTTTGGTGACAACGCAAGAAAATCGACTTAGAACAGTTGTAAGAAGTTTTTCTGAAGATGGTCACGGGTTGTTTTGCAAATCCCACTTCCTGGGCTTCTGTTCTGGAGGATGCCAAGTGCCTGTGGAATTTTTTTTGCCTCCTGAAGATTTTATTCTTAGTCAGTTGTAAGAGTGCTCTGGACATGGAGAGTGTTGCTACAGGGATTGGGCCTTTTATGGATCCACCATCACTGCTGGTCCTGTGCAATTAATAAATCATGGAGTCATGGAATAGCAGGACTCACAAGGATCATGAAGCCAAGTAAGTGAAGTACCCAGGCAGCAGGGAGTGAGAGGTGTTTCTCCTGCTGCTGCCCTGACTCCAGACCTGGAAAATACTCAGATTTACCTCCCATGGAGCTTTCCTGGGTGCGTTCCTCGTGCTTGTCCTCTCAAATTTAGCAATTTGATAGATTTATCACCACTTTGACAAAAATTTATTGAACAATTCAAGCAATTTAAGCAAACACCAAATCACCTTTCAAGTTGAACAGGATAAAAGTCTTGCAGCCACGTGCAATTACTGACAACGAGGCAGAGATGAAGAGAAATAATTTGAAAAAAAAAAGAATCTTAATTCAGGAGCAGCACTTCATGATTTTGAGCCTCTGGTATTTTTATTTGAATAAATAAGTTGTGACTGTGTAGTAAAATCTGAAGGATGGGAAATGAGGAGTTTCCACCCTTGTGGATCATCCTGCAGATCCAAGGCTGAGGGCACAAAGCAGGAGTTCAGATCAGACTATTTCATAACAGAAATACTGTCAGAGATGTAATTCTGTATCCAGGGTGTTACATAAAGCAAATATTAGATGTGTTTATGGGGGGAAAATCCATCACAGGCAGATCTCTGGAATGTGAGGGAGGAAAATCCAGAGAAATATCATTAAATCCTTGCCCTTTGCTTGGAGTTTTATCAGTGCTTGTGATCCTGGCTCTGTCAGGGGAAGGTTTCCTGGGTGTGAGGGGCTTTCTCCAAGCCAGTCCAGCTGTTCTTAAGTTTATTTTACAGCTCCAAGGATGGAGTTTGTGTCAGCAGCTCCTTTTCCTTACTCCAAGTCACTTGGCTAAAAGGGATTTTGCAGTGGATTATCCTTCCCCGGCACTGTCAGCCCACTGAGAGGAATTTAATTTTTAAGGAGACCTCCCTTGAGAGCTGAAGTCAATTGTCTTTAATTGTCTTTACTGTCAATTCTTTCATGAGGGCTGTTCTTCCTTGGAAAGTGAGGAAAATCAGGCTGGCAGGAAGGATTTTATTGGAGGAAAAGTTGACTGTTGTATCTTTATTCTCATTTTACACAAAATAAACACTGACTGCAGTGGGTGAAATCAGCATTTTTAGACCATATCCTGCAGCAATGGGGAAATTCCAAGCACAGGGCCAACAGGGAATTTTACTCTCCTTACCTTCAGCAGTTCTGTCACTCCAGGAATCTCTCCTGGCTCTTCCATGATCCCCTTGGTGGCCTTTTCATCCAGCTCCATATTCCCAGTGTCTCTCCATACCTTGAGCTGGGCCCAGCCCTTCCACAGTTTCATGTGGTGCCAGACAAAGGGTTTGTTTTCTTTATTTAGAGCTGGTTCTTTCTGAGGAAGAGAGAAGGAATAATTGTTTCCTAAGTGCTGCTCCTCATTGTAGATCTTTATCATAATTGCATTATTTCAGCCTTCTCCTTCCAGCCTGAAGGTCTGTTTCGCCTTCAGGAGGACCCCTGGTGTTATTTTTGGTGCCTTTGTAAGTGTGTTCCCATTCCCACTCCATCACAGAGCCGATACCCACGGGGATTTTGCACTGGGATTTTTCCACTGGGACATACGAGAACTTCTTATTAGTACAACAAGTTCCCATTCCCGTGGTTACACCAATGAAAAGCACTTTTAGATTGATTTGATTTCCTGCTGTCCCCTTTCCCTTCGCAGGGCACCGACAGCCTTCAATCAGCAATCCAGCCAGAAATGCAGATAGAACACGGGGCAATCCAAATTCAGTGAGGGAACTGAGGAACACTGGGAGCTGTGGGTGAACCACAGGCAGAAATGAAGTGCAAGAGGACAAAAATACCTCTTAAAACCAATGGTCACACCTCAGACATCTCCAGCCATGGCCTGGTTGTCCTCACCTGGAATAACTCACACCCTTCTACTTCAGCTGGAGCTGCACCACACCACCAGTGAAGATCTGGCCTTCAGGAGAAAAAATCAGAAAATCAAGAAAGAGGAAGAAAAAAAACCCCACCAAACCTTGCAAAAAGACAGAAGGAGATTTAATGCATCCAAACTGTGAGACTCAATTCCTGCTCACCTGTTTCTTCTGTGAAAAAGGCCCTTTGAATGTCTGCAGATACCTTAGGAGGTGTATTGCTGCTTTGCAATACTTGCTTTACCACATAGAAAAGTTCCAGAGCTCAGCTATTTTTCACTGTTTAAATGGCTTTTTTTTTATTTGCTATGGTGTTTATAACAAAAAATGGAAAAAATATTTAAAAAGAGGAAAATTCCCATGGCAGCAAGTATTGGCCTTTTGCTGGTGTTTTCTGTTCAGTGTAATGAAAACTGTACTTGCAGAAGACTAACAATTTTGTTTGTACTGTTGCTTAACTACTTTTCTAGGGGAAAAGGCTTTAAAATGCTGTAATTATGCATTTCTAATGGAAAATAAATGTGTATTTATGAATAGTGCAGCTCTTAAGTTGCTCTGCTGTGGGGTGAGGATGGTCTGGTGGCTGCAGGAGTGGAGTTCTGGAGGAGCTGATGCCACTTGCAAGCTGTACTGGAAGTCACTTTAAGTGTCTAAGGAAGGTCTCAATCTCAGATCATTTCATTACCTAAATTTTCAGTGCAAGAAAAACGGGATGGTTAAGCTTTGGAGTCTGCAAATCATATTTATACAATGACTTTATGAAATTTATGGTAAATGTGAACAGTTCTGAGCTCTCTCCCTTTTAGTTCCTCCTGCCTCCTTTGTCCAGCAGTGCCTCAGTTTGGGATTCATCCATCCAAAAGTCTGGTATCCACCATCCAGAGCAAGGTGAAACCCTCTGTCCTCTGAAACCTCTGGGAAATTTGGTATTGATTTCAACAAAGCACCATTTTCCTATTTGCTAAGCTTGAGTAGGAAGGAAACCTGTTGGCTGTAACCTGATTATTATTTAATGATTTTTTGGAAAAATACAGACTTTACTGGGGAAGGTGTTGCTTTGTATTTGATTTTCAGCTGATTTCTATATGATTGTTGCCAATATATGGCTCATAATGCATTGAATTTAATTAATGAATGAGGCATAGCCACAAATTCCATATTGTTGAATTCAGGATAACTTGTATTTTGATTTTTTTTATCTTATGAAAAGAAGGGTTAAGCCCAGCCAGTTTCTGGGAATGTTGTCCCTGGGAAGTGTTACACTTTATGTATAAATTCCTGCCTCTCTTTAGGATGTCTCTTGACTCAGGAGCACAATGCAGACTGAACCACAGCTTATGGAACACAGGGTTTGTACCAGGCCAAGAATTTGGCTGCTCTTCAGTTTCTTTTTATAAAAGTGTTTCTCAGTCTGGGGTATCTTTGAAGATCTTGGCATCCAAATAGAGGCCTAAAAATAAGCAAGGCCTGTACATTTTACTGTGGCTGGTTAAACACAGAATTCCAGAATGGTTTGGGTTGGGAGGGACCTTAAAGCTCATCCCATTCCACCCCCTGCCATGGGCAGGGACACCTTCCACCAGCCCAGGTTGCTCCAAGCCCTGTGCAACCTGGCCTTGGACACTTCCAGGGATGGGGCAGCCACAGCTTCTCTGGGCAACCTGTGCCAGGGCCTCCCCACCCTCACAGGGAAGAATTCCTTCCCAATATTCAGTCTAAACCTGTTTTCTTTCAAATCCATATTTTTTCAAGTATTTTTTTTTAAGTCCATTCCCCTTGTCCTGTCAAATGGAGGAGGAGAATCCTCCCCCTCTGCTCTGCTCTGTTTCGTGGTACAACTAAAATTCTGTTCTCTTTGCATTTTTCAGCTCAGGTACGAGATCAGATTGAGTTCAGGACATGAGATTGAGTTCAGGAGGTTCCCTTTAGCCACCAGACCTGCTGCAGGCTCAACTCTCTTCTAAAACTGACTCTAAAGGTGTATCAAGGGGTGAAGTAGCTGATGTAGATCCCAGGAGAAGGAAATCTGCTCCAGTGTGGAATGGAGAGTGTCAAATCAATTGGAATAGGTAAGGAGAGCAGCTCAGTAAGATCCTCCACTGCATCCAGACTTTGAGGTCCTCCAGATGGGAACGTTCCTCCACGTTATGTCCATGTTTACAGGAGTCTGAGCTGTGTTTGTCCTTCAAAGTGAAGAGTCTCCAAGAATGGTTGATGGGTTTTCTGGGCATCACAGCTGTGTCACCTACAAATAAGTCATTCCCAAAAGAGTCATTCGGGAGTGAATTCCCTTTTGGGAAGTGGTCTGGGAGGTTCTGTGCAGGGTGAATTTATGTCCATACAGAGTTTATAACAAAACCACTAAGAAATCCTAAAAATATTGTGAGGTAACAAGGAATCAGCATCTTCCAGGGGTTCTGAGGGTTTGCCTGGCTCTGAGTTCTGGCGGGTTGGTATTGGTTGACCACAGATGTGGTTCTGTCCTTGAAGACAACTTTCAGTGGGTCAACTTGAAACACACTCCCATTATGTCTCCTGTCACTCACAGCTTTGTCACTAATAAGGTTCTTTTTCCCTCAACAAACCATCCAAAATCAACATTTTTAACTCTTCTTTTCCTCCTCAAGCTGCTTTTGTCCAGGAGAAGTTGAGAACATACGACCAGGAGCCTTCAGGGAGACGTTTCTTGTAAGGTTAGACTTGGATCAGCTGCGTGTTTTATATTTAATTGATTTTAATTCACCTTGTGACCTGCAGAATCCTGTTTTCATGGGGTTGATTTGATTGAGTGCAAGAATGTTTCTGTGTCCAGGCTTGGGAGGGAGAAGAGCCTCTGGTTGCCCTACTTGGTCCTTGGATCCCACCTGAAAAGGTGAATTCTTGAGGGCATCCATGGTCCTGATTTAAAACTAATCAAAATATTCCATTTTGATGGATTGCACAGCCAGAAATTGGTCTAAAAAAAAGTGAGGGAGTGGGTGATTTCTTTCCTGGTTTTCTCTTTCTTCCATTCCTTGTTAGTTTTACGCATTTTTGTCTTGCAAAACAAATCTATAAAAGCCATCACCCTCCTGTGACCCAAATAAACTGGAATGTCCTCATTAGCTGCGTTTTTAGGCATTTCAGTATTGACAGTTTGCCTGTAAAGGAAGGACTCGTGGCCAAAACGTTGCTGTGATGCTTGTCTCCCTCGTGGAGATCCTGGTGTGTGAATATTCTCTGGTGGCCCTGGATTTTATTATCCACTTCTGTGGATGCAGAGTGTCATGTTAGAAAATACAGTGAGAAAACCAATACCTAAAAAAAAAAACCCCAACCCTAAATCACTCCATGATCTCCCTCTACACCAACTTCTGTTAGCAATCAGTATTCCTCCTGAATTCCTAATTATCCAGGCACTGCAAATTCTGACGAGAATTCAACAAGAACTGTTTCCCATTATCAGGAGTAAGAATGTTCCTTTCATTCCCGGCGATCCCAAAGCTCTTCTGGAAGCTCTGCTGGTTTAGATGAGCCCTCAGCAGTCAAAGCTCATTTCCTTGGATGGAGCTGGGAATAAGGAAGTCGTTCAGCTGGAATCATATTTGGGTAAACTGAGCTGGCTGTTCAGCGCTCTGCTACAAACACACAGACCTGGGGTTGCTGCTGAGCAAGGTTTGACTCATTTAAAGGGTGTTTTATGCCCCAAAAATAGGAACAGCAGCAGCAAGTGGAGGCAGGAGGAGCCGTGCAGAGCCCACAAGCACTTTGGCCAAGGCAGAGTCAACACTCCTCATTCTAAAGGTGATTTTTAATCAAATCTTCTTCTTTCTCGTGATAAATGGGATGGAACTGGATGAGAACCTGTTTTTCCCCATTTACAACCTCTCATACAATTTAAATCTCTCTGTTTGATTATTTTGCCTGGTTTTAAACTTGGGTGAATTCAAAGTTTTCTCCTCTTTTCTTCCTCTTCAATTTTTCTAAATTTCCTTTTTGCAAAGGAAAAAAAAAAGTCTTTTAATGATATTTAATAAAATTTTATATTTCAGGCAGAAAATATATCCTATATCTATTTTAAAGGGGTTTAATTCATCAGTATGGATTTTTTAATTAACCAGGAGGCTGAGAAAAATTCTGTATTTCTTCTGGTCCCTCAAGTTAATAATCTGTGGGTTTGAATGTTTAATTAAACAGTCCAGTTTCATCTCTGGATGATGAAACAGTCCATCGTGTTGGGTTATGAGATTATATGTTATTTAATCTTTTACTTAATAGTTCATTCCAGATTTTTTCTATAAAACAGAACAACAAAAACCTGGATGGAAAACTGAGTTTAGTCCAACATGGTTTTCTTTGTCCCTCACTGTTCCATGGTCTGGGTATTTATGGTATTTAAAAATTAATGAAAATCATAAACATCCCCACGTTCCACACTGATTCCCTGCTTTGGGAATCTTTGGGATTGCTATTTTCCAGATGCCCCGGGCTTTGTTTGCCAAGCAGGATCTGAGAACTGAAGCAAAGACACTGAAATCAAAGGGACTTTACTCTTTTATTGTTCCCATGGGGAAAACAGATCTGCTGGACTTATATTGCAAATAATTTGGATTTTAAATGAGGAATTATATGTTCAATTTACCACTGGCTTTCTGGGAAAAGCAGAAAAAAACCTGGGAGCTGCCCAGCAGTGTTTGAGTAGCTGAAAGGTGCATTTCAGCTTGCTTGATACATTTAGTTAGTTAGGTAGTTATTTTTCAGTTAGGTAGTTATTTTTTATATATATTATATAATTTTTTATACTTAATTATATAATATATTTTATATATGATATACACACATATAATTTATATACACTATAGATATTGTTTATATACATATTTATATATTAGATATCCTATATATGCCATATATATTATATATACTATATGTATTCTATATTATACATTATAAGTACTATATTATAAATACCGCATACAGTATTTATAAATACTACATGTAGTGTTTATTGTGTACATTATATCAATACAAACATATAATCATAGAATATATACACTAGATATACAACAATATTTTATACAAGAAATATTACTTATTTTTATATTCATAATGTATACAACAAATGTATTTATTTATTTATTTATAAAACCCTTGGTCTGCTGGATTCTAAGTTGCACTTAACAGGACAAATCAAGCCATTTTAGACCTTAACTCTGTGCACATGAAGATGCTCCTTTACTGGGCTTAGTTACCAAAAATGCCCCAGTTGGAAAGTCAGTGTTTGCTGTTAATTAATAACATTTTCAGTGCTTGCTGTTAATTAATAACATTTTCACTGAATAACCAGATTTTTCCCTGCTGTTCCCACGTGGCAGCAAAATGAAACCTCCCTTTGCCAGCGCCAGGTGAATCCCAGCAGCTGCTCCTGGGAATTCTGCTGACCCCCACTTTAGGCTGCCCATGGCTAAACTCACTGTTTGATGCCATTTCTCCCTAAAATTCCTGTCACAGCCCTCTTGGGTTGGCCCTTCTCCTCTCATCCCAACTGGGACTGATTTAACCAGCCCCGCTGGTGGGATTTGTGAGGCTCAGCTCCGTGTCCCCTCCCGGAACGCCGTGCTCTCCTCGGACACATGTGCCTTGCATAATTCCTGTTATTTAACAGCAAGTTTATTACTCAATCCTCCTTCAACTCTCTTAATCCCCCTGCTCTAATGGGCTCCTGCCTCCTCAGCAAAAGAACTTTAAAAAAACCCCAAATGTTCCTAAAAGAGGAGTGAGGAGTCCAGGGAAAAAAAGAGGAGTGTTTTGGTGCTTTGGTCTGATTCCTCCTTTTCCACACGCTCAGGTTGCCTTTCCCTCCTCTCTGCAGTGAAACGTGGTGGTTCCCAGGGAGAAGTTCACACAATAGTGCCAAAAATATCCCAGTTTATCCCAGGAACAGCAGCTCTGGAGGTAGGCAGGGGCAAGGGGGAGATCTGGGGTTTTTTTCATCTTTTTTTTTGTTTAAATTTTGTTTATCCCTTACTGTGTTTTTAAGTAGTTTGTAAACATCTGGGGCGATTTACATCTGGTTTGGGTTGTGCCTGGAAATCCTCTGAGTTTCGTTAAATTGACCATTAGAATGAAAGCAGGAGCTTCTCTGGCAGGTTCTGTCTCAGAATTTTAGAAAAATAAACAGTAATTTTAGAAAAATAAATAGTCCATCTCCACACTTTCCCCCTCTGACATTTTCCTACGTTGCCATGGGAATTTTCTTGTGTGGCAAAGGGCTGAGTGCACCTTGGTGTGAGCGAAAAGAATCATTTCCTTTTGTTTTCCTTTTCGTAAAAGGTGGAAGGCATTCATTTTTTCTGCCAGAAAATCAGCTTTGTAGGAATATTCCCTTAGAAAACTTGGAATGTCTTTGCATGGATGGACAGTTTTCCTGCTGAATCTTTGAGCAAATGCAGCTCACTTGGCACTGAAAAAGCTTCATAGACAGCCAGTGGCTGAACACTTTGAGGCAGGTTTTCATTGTGTGGTTTTGCTTTTATTTTGGGTTTTACCTGTGTCATTCCCAGTGTGGAGCTGGGAATCCCAGCTCTGTGCTGCGCAGAAAGGAGCCTGGAAGAAGTGTGTCCTTGGATTTGAGCTGCTTGATGCTCTTGGCTCTAAATCTCTGATCAGTGTGCAGATTTGGGTGAGTCGAGGGTAAGGTTTAAAAAGCCCCGGATTGGACTCCTGGGGAGAAAACACTGGCTGGGAAAGAGCTTCAGTTTTGGCAGAGAGGGAATTGCAGGAACTTTAAAGCAGTAAATCCAGGTGGGAGAATGAGGCAGAGAGTTTGACAGTGTGTGGAGGAGGATTGATGACCATGCCAAGTGTTGGCTGGTGGATTCCTCACCTGTGACAGGAATGAGAATGTGCTGGGATCTGTGGCAGCCTGGCACACTCTGATAGGTGTGCAGGGGTTATCCCAAGGGATGCCCCTGGTTCCCACAGTCTGCAGCTTGTCCAGGCTCCCAGCGATGGATCCACACAGTCCATGGTCACTGGATCCATTTATCAGGAAATATTCCCTCTGTTCTCTTCCTACGCCAGAAAGCACAAGCCAATAATATGTGAAATATCCTAAATTCATAGAATCATTTTGGTTGGAAAAGACCTTTAGGACCATGGAGACCAACCATCCCCCAGCACTGCCACGGCCACCACTCACCCATGTCCCCAAGTGCCACATCCACATGGCTTTTAAATCCCTCCAGGGATGGGGACTCCACCACTGCCCTGGGCAGCTGTGCCAGGGCTGGACAACCCTTTTGGTGAAAAAATTGTTCCTGAATTAGGGAAATGTTGGTAATAACCTCTCCTAGAAGGCTTCTCCGTGGTGATGAGCTGAAAACAGATGCCCATATGGAGGTACCAAGTACATCAGGAAGGGTGTCAAGCGATTGTCTGTCACTTGCTCAGATGTTCTTGTCTGAAGTTCTCAATGTATGAGGGTTAAATTGAGCTAAAAGTCCTTTTTTTGGGACCAGTGAAACAGAGAAGTGGTGGGTTCTTGTGCACAGACCTTGTTTGTGGATGACAGCAAATGTCTGGGTGATCTGGGAACCAAGGGAGGAGGGGTGGGGCTGATCAAGACCCTAAGAGAAAGAATTCAAGGCAAAAACAATTTAAAAAAGCACTGAAATTCCTAATCTTTTGGGACTGGTTTCTGAGGGTCCATAATTAAAAATACCATCATTAATAAGAGCTTTCTTACAGCACAGAGTTAATAAACAGGGAGCATCTAAGAAAATATGAGTGTTTCCTCATAAACTTCTGCCATCCCACCTCCTTTTGTACCCAAGATTTTGGTGGTGTTGATGAGGCACTTCCAGCAGAAGGAGGGTTAAGTCCATGAGAAGGGGGTGGAGAGGGAATCCCAGCTTGGAACTTGAGACTTTCCAGCTGAGAAAGGAGGATTCAGAGATGCAGACGTAATCCTGCAGCTCTGCAACCAAACTCCAGTGGCAGAGGAAGTCAGGAAAAGCACATAAATAACTCCACAGCCACAGTCACTGTAGGGCAGGACATAGAGCTGTAGTGCCACCACTTCCTCCAGGGTGAGTATGGAAAAACTTCCTGGCTGAATGCTTGCAATTGGTTTAAATACTTTGAAATGGTTGGGTGTGAAGTGCAGAAATTGAGGTGAATTGGGGTTGTTTGGTGCCAGATCAAATAGATGCTCTTTTACCTAAATGCAAGTCGCAGGTTTCCTTGCAAACAGCCCCCAGGAATGGGGGTGTCTGAAGCAGAGTCTTTGTTGTTTCCAGCTGTAAATTCAAAAGTTCAGAGGAGTTGCCAAGGACTGCAAACAAACATTTAGTGGGAATGCAAATTTGTCTGTATTTAATATACAGATTTGAGCCTTTCGCTTTGAGTGGCTTAACTGCTTCCAGCTTGAGCTGCTCTCCTTATCTGCAGCTGAAGGTTTCCAGGTAATCCACGTGTTGAGGATGGGCTTTCCTGAACTTTGAAGGATCTTTGGGGAATCCAAGTAGCTCTACACTTTATTTGCTGCCTGTGTGATATGTAAAGACTGGGGGGTGTTTGTGGTCAGTCTGAAGGATCCAAAGACTGATCCAGAACGAAGGATGGGAGAGGGAAGTGATGCTGCTGCCTTGCTTCTCTACAGGGGGCTTTCTCCCCTGCCAGGTGATGGGGATGTGATGTGGCAGCTGGGGGTGTGATTTATTGCATTATTACCATTATTATTGCCAGGCTTTCTGGGCTGGTTCTTGGTTAAGTTGGAGTTCAGGGACCGGCTCACGCTGGGCTTTGTGAGGATGTGTTTATAAAATGCCTGTTTTCCATTACAAACCCGGGAGATAAACGAAGATGACAGTCACATTTTCCTAACATAAATTTCTCCCTCTCTCAGTCTTCCTTGGAAACCATAAATTTCAGCAGCCTGTCTGTGCTCCAGACATCAAAAGCCCCGTGGAGGCAGGCGGGTTGACAAGCCCGGTTTGCCTGGGTCAGGTCCTGTGCAGAAGGACAGACAGAATCCAAATGATAACAGAGAGCTGGGGAGGGAGCAGAGTTAAAGGAGG